TAATATGGATAAAGTAATATATCAATGAAGAAAAACCAAGTAAAAATCACAGAAAATTTCATTTATTCTACGTTTACATCATCTACAAAGGAAGAGGACTTCAGAGTGCTGTTAGTAATAGATGAGTTCACTCAGCATGCTTCAAATGTTTAAAATTTAGTTTTATTTCAAGTGTCCATTTTTACCCCATTTCAAGATTGATTCAGGAGCCTTTTATATTGCGTCTAGCACCTCACAAATAGCATATGGAATTTTTTGGAGATGACATATGATAGCCCTTGCAAAGACCTTTAAAATGAGCCCAAACTTGTTTATGAAATGTTTCATGGTAAGAAGTTATTAACAAAAAACGCTCATAACCGTCCCTTTTGACCCTGTTTGAAGGTACTTTCTGCACCCTGGTGCCTAAGCAAATGTCTAATACAATACAAGTTCAATTTGCAAATTAAATTTAAAATATAAAGACTTGAGAAGTAAAATATTTTGCTTTCCTACCTAGGTTACATTTTCAGGCTCACTTCACTCCTTTGTTCATATTTCAAGCTTTATGATTCATGCCAATTTATCTAATGCACTGGCTTGCATTTTTTGCTATGTATTTCAAGATGTTAGAACTTTGACATTAGAATGTGATAATAGCAAAACTGAAAATAATAACTATATCACATTTGTAAATGCTCACAATAACAAGGTTTGTACTGGTCATGGAAAACCTGGAAAATCAAGAAATTTGATTTTTTATTTTCCAGGCCTAGAAAGTCATTGGATTTCATTTCAGGTCATGGAAAGTAATGGAATTTGCAAATAAAAGAAGAAAAAAAATGAAGTGTGTGCTGCATGTGTTAAACTGTTTGTGCAGTCTCTTGTTTCCTGCATTCTGATTAGCATGCATGAAACAAGAGACTGTGACACAGTCTCTTGTTTCATTTGTTCTGATTGGTTCTCCAGTCACTTGACTGTCGGTCACATGACTGGAGAACCAATCACGTGAGCTTGGTCACCAAGCTTAGTTGCATTCGAAAACTTTTTTATCTGCAGTGGCAAAATGCAATTTCAATATCACCATGTCTGGAAAGTGTAAATTTCATGACTTGTGGTTAAGAATAGAAGCTTATTGTGACTGGCTTGCTCACCATCCAAAGCATGAAGGTATGGCAATATCATGTACATTGTTCTCAAAAGACTTTGATGTGTCAAATATGGAGGAAGCAGTTTTGAAGAGCCATGTTGCCTTTGGAGAGCTATGCAATTACTTGTTAGCTATTTATAAACTGTAGGAGATGATAAAATACCGTATCCATGGTTATTCTTTCAGTCATGCTAAACCTGTCATATACGAGTCTTGGAAAATTATATTGGTGGCCATGAAGAGTAATGGAGAAGTCATGGAGTTTTTTTTCTAAATACCAGTACAAACCCTGCAATAACTGTCATTGGGAATCACTTACAAGTTTGAAACTTTGAGATTGCATTGCTCTGTTTGCTCTGGCATCCAAGCAAACATGGACTAGTAAAGCGAGGCTTGTGCCTTGTGGTGACGTCATATGTGCACACATGATATATCACACGTGACAACGCATGATGGAGCAATTTTGTGGGCTACAAATAAATAAATAATTGAGTAAAAAATATGTTGCTGAAACACTTGAGCAGCCTGTGCCTAATTAGAATTTGATATTATTATCTCGTTAGTAAAACATACTAAAGTAACTAAATAAAAAAAGTTCATTTGCTTGCCGCTGCGGCGGTGCTGCTTGGTGCTGGCCAGGGTGCATAGGGTGCAAGTAGAATTGCCAAGACATGTATTTTTAGCCCAAAGCATTACCAGGCATTTTCAAGATGCATTGCCAGGTAATTTTTAAGAAAAAAATGCTGCTAACAACTTTGATAGTCTATCCCTTGCTCTCCACGCACTGCAACGCTTATGCTCATCGCAACTGATTTCTGGACAAACCTGCATCCTGATCCATCCAACGTACCAGAAAGCGGAAACCTTACTGTGTGTGCTTGTGGTCTTTCAGATTTGTAATAATTGCAATAATTTCAATGTAATTTCTTAAATGCAATAATTTCATTCCAAATGTGTTGGCAAGATCTTCTGAAGGCGTAAATTTTGCTGCTGATGCGTCACCAAAGATCTTTTGACATTGACCCACTTTCAGCACCCTGGGGTGCTGGTGTTGCAATGTGTACATGGGCCATTATAGACTTGAAATATGCTTTGCTTCAAATTAAATTTTACAAAATTGAATAATAAGTACCGTAAAATGGGGTAACTTAGACCACTTTTTTTTATAAAATGATGCCATTTTTTTACTAGCTAAATTAAACTTGAATTGAAACATGCAAAATACAGGTCTTTACTCCAGCTTCACTCACCATAAATTGCTGGCTCCTGCCTCCCATAGTCTTTATGTAATTTCAAAAAAAGTGATGGTCATTGTTACCCCAGCTCTTGGGGTAACTTAGACCGGGTGGTAAAATCAATTATATTTTTTGGTAAAATAACTCCAAATAACTCCAGGTTTTGGTGCATTGTAGTAGAACTCTTCTAGTTACATATGCAAATGACAAACTTGAGGAAAGTGTCATAGTTTGCAAATGGGGGGGTCCTGCCCCCCAGGTGGTCTAAGTTCCCCCAAACGGGAAACTCTGACCACCTAATGGCAGCCCTGACAGGGTTAACATAGACCGGCCTGGAAATTAAGTTAAATTACCATATATAAGACTCTGTAGAGTCTGAAACCTAAAGAAAAAACATAAATAGGCTGTCAAACATAAAATATGTTATATATGGTAATTTTATATTAACTTCCAAGCCGCTCTATGTTACCCCGTCAGGGCTGACATTAGGTGGTCTAAGTTATCCCATTTGGGGGCAGCGCCCCCCATTTGCAAACTATGACACTTTCCTAAAATTTGTCATTTGCATATGTAACTAGAAGAGTTCTACTACAATGCATCAAAACCTGGTACCTGGAGTTATTTAACAAAAAAAAAATAAAAAAATTGGAGGGGGTACTCTGACAGGCTTTAAATAATAGCTTTTTTTCATGGGTCACATTTTAAATTTTTTAACCTATTAGATATGCAAACTTTTCAAATCTTCCTATTGTGTTATGTGGCCTCAGTATTAGGCCTTTAATGCCCATTGACAAAATTTTTCTATGTCAAATAGTTTTTGAGTTGTGGGGGTTTTTGTTAAAAAAACGAAAAATGGTCTAAGTTACCCGCCGGTCTAAGTTACCCCATTTTACGGTACTCATTATTGAACATCAAGAAATAAAATTAATTATATGTTACTAATTTCATTGTACTTTCAGCAGAATGAATATTACATTTTGTATTATTTTTTCTTTTTTATATGGCTTTAGTTCATAGAAAACTTTTCACCAAAGACTTAGTTGCTACAGAGTAGTAATGGAGAATTCATGGGAGGAGCTTGCACATTTTACTTGAAAATTATAATTTCAGGTAATGAATTTCACCTGTAACAAAGCATAGAAATAGAATAGAATGCAACTTTTATGACAAGTTTGTAGCATGAACATGTACCTAATGCATGAACTTGGCAATCAATAATTCAATGTACTTTTGTACACAATGAACACTACCTTAAAACTGATTGCCTTTGTGAAAAAAGTGCTGGGCAGCTTTGGCGGCAAGCTGTACCAGTAGCTGCAGCAGCTTGGTTGAGAATTATAAAAAGGAATGACCAGAACAAAGGGCAAAAATTGAGGTTTCTACATGAATTTCAATACTTGACATTCTATCATCTTTCATTAAACTTCCCAATATGACATCAAAGTTATTTTCATCACTAAAAGGTACCCTTAGTGGAATTGCAGCCAAGTGAGTAGATAATGAAAATTTCTCTTGAAAAACAATTGGTCCTGTCATAAACTCATAATTCAAGATTTTTCATTTGTTTCCAAAGATACCTACATCACTCAAATTATGCTACCAGTTGTGGGGACTTTTAAAAGTAAATGACTCCTGTGCGCCAATTGAAAACTGCAAGTTTACCATTTTGTTGTGTTTATTGTGATCTGGGCGGGGTTTGTGCTCATATACCTACATGTATTTTTAGTTACTCAAGATACACTGGAAGCTTCAAATCAATCCCATATAGGTATGATGATGTGGCCAGGGAGGAGGGGACTGTGCCATTAGGAACTTTTGGAAGTGTGATACATTCAAGCCAGTAGTGATGAAATGCATATAAAAGCATTTCCAGTTTTATTTACCTATTTACCATAGGGGTATACATTACAGTTGAGCTACCTTGAGATCAAATCTTATAATTAAATTGATATCACCACAATACATATAAAGAAGTGTAAAGCCATTATTATTGAACCTCAAAAGCTTAAAGAAAATTCGCTGGGATTATGAAGGCCTGTTGGGTCTCCAGTCCAGAGGCTCCTGGCTGTGCTGTGCAAAGGGGTTGCTATGGCTGCATAGTTATTGCCCATCTGAAAGTCAATGATATCATTAGAACACATTGTGTTTAATGGGACATTGTCAGTTTGAGCCTAATATAATTCAATACATGTGATCTAAGAAATGAGAAGTTTTCTTATTTTAGTAATAATTGACATTTATCTTCTGGAATATTGGACTTGAAATGCATGCTTCAAATAAAGAAATGGATAATTAGGTACCTATCAACAATCAGTAAGATATTTAATTTGTACAAGATAATTTACTAAAGTAATAAAATACAAAAAAACAAAAGCAATCAATCAATCAATATCTAATGAATATTTTAGGCTGATGAATATCATTTTTACTAATGCATTTAATTTTCAACTACACATTGAATACCATTCTAACATCAGGATTTGTAGTCTGCCCTGGTTTGGCCCAGTCTTGTAGTTTGCTTAGATTTAACCCACCCATGCTACTGATGCAGATGATAGAGATGGATCTAATGATGGAGATGCAGCTAATGATGGCAATGGAGCCAATAGTCTGAATGAATTTGTTTTGTTTTGCAGGGCCAACAACAGAGTGGAGGGTCTGGAGGGGGTGGCGGAGCTGACGGAGACAAGAAAGACAAGAAGAAGAAATATGAGCCGCCCGTGCCAACACGTGTGGGCAAGAAGAAGAAGAGAATGAAGGGCCCTGACACTGCTAACAAGTTACCTCAAGGTTTGTGAATATGGCACTCGCATCAACTGGAGCTTGCTTGTATAAAAAAATCTATATATTATGTTTTTATCTATTAAAGTTGCCACTTGAATTAATTTGAATATCAGTATTGACAGCAAAGTTCTAAGTAATAATTTGATATTGTGCATTGAGATTATGGATATGATTCTGAATTTTATTTACGGTTTTTAGTTATTCATTGTAGTGTAACCTAATGCTAAGTGACTCCTTGGCTTGGCAGCAACAAGAGTTAGTGTGATTATACATTAGTAGATATCATTTTCCATCTTAATTAGTTCTTCATAGTTGCACAGCTAAGGGGAAAATTTAGGTTAAGAAATAATTTTAATATGCTCAAATCACACAGAAAATTCGACATTTTAGAAAACCTATATTTTATTTGACTCTTTCTTTTGAAATTATTAGTGATATTTTGAGAGATATTGCTACTTACAAGTTTACAAAAGGGCAGAAAAAGCATGAATATCAGTGCATGAGGTTTAACTTTTTTTCAGATGCTCATATTTTTTTAAATGCTTGTTCATGGTAGTGGGAGGCTCTGATGCTCTGTGTGGAATGATAAGCTCGTGATGGGGGATTGGCAGAGGCATGAAAACATTACCAAGAGTTAGGAGATATTTAGAGAGATTCTAAACTACCATATACAGTGGGGGGAAATAAATATTCGTACACTTGAAAAATCGTATTTTAATGTATGTAAGGACACAAACTTAACAGGAAAAGTGATTTAAATTATGTATAGAGACGCATAGTATTCAAAAATACTATCAAAAGAAATTAAATCTCAATGCAACAAATCTATGCGTCTCTATACATAATTTAAATCACTTTTCCTGTTAAGTTTGTGTACTTACATACATTAAAATGCGATTTTTCAAGTGTACGAATATTTATTTCCTCCCACTGTATGATAACTTGTCAATGATTGTCAATTATTGATTGAATTTATTATTAATGATATGTCACAGTTAGATACCTATTGAATGCATTTCAATATCTAGGCTTAGAACATGAGGTTATTTATACCAAATTCTGCAAAATCAAATTCAAAAATGAGTAAATAATGTCGCGTATAAATTTATCTATTTAGTGCATATCTTTGCCGAAATTTAATAAAAATTTAAATGATGTGATTCTTAATCACAGTTAGTTAGTGGAATGCATGTAAGCAAAAATAAAATAAGTTAATTCTGTAAATTGATTGTTGATTTCAGTTACACCACACACAAGATGTCGCCTCAAAATGCTTAAGCTGGAGCGCATAAAAGATTTCTTACTCATGGAGGAAGAATTCATCCGCAACCAAGAGACACTCAAGCCTCAGGAGGAGAAGGAAGAGGTTTGTTTGATCAATGCACAAATCCAGTTGAATATTTTTTTCAGTAATGTCCACGCTACTACCAAACTTAACTATTGGAAAATACCAGATAATGGTATTCTATATTCACATATTTCTTGCTTTGTTAAAAACATTCACCCACAACGTTGATCAGAAGGTTCAATATAAACAAGAAGTTGTTTGGTGCAACTTTACATTTCAACTTGAAAATTTGCAACTTTCTTTCCTCATTTTACTTTTGCACTGGTAAAGTGTAGTTTGAATTTAGCTACAAAATTTCAGCTTTGTGATGATGAAAGTGTTTTTGTGGATGCCTTTGTGTGCAGGAGCTTGGAAAGCAGATGTACTGCAAGGCAGTCCTACGAGTGTTGTGTGCAGGAGTGCAGTATGATAGATGACATGTGCAGCAGTCCCATGACTGTTGTTGTTGTGTGCAGGAG